TCCTATTTGCCCCCAGAAAATTCGGGGTTTTTAAAAAAAAAAAAAAAAAAGAAAGAAAGAAAGAAAAAGGAAGAATAAAAAAATGATTCAACAGCATAATGAATAGTCACTCGGATTTTAAACCAAAAACATACAACAGAAAAAGAATTCAAAGAAATGTCCCATCCTGAATGTGCATTCATCATCTTTAACAAAAGACCTATCACAGCTCCAGGTATGCTAGCCAGCCCCAGCTGATACAAACTTTTTAAGGTTAAGACACAGACCCATCTGCCATAAATGAAAGTAAAAATACTAACGACTTCAACCCACCTTCTTTTTCTGTGAAGGGTTTCTTCCGATTCTTTAAAAACCTGTTCATCTCTCCATTGTGGCACATCTCCAGTATAAGATAGACATAATTGCTATCTTCAAAATAATTATAAAGCTATAGCAAAGAAAGAGAAAGCTGGGTTATAAAACTATTTTTAAGACAATGTTTAAAGCTCATCTCCAAAAAGAAATACGGTAAACTCTCCATTATCCGGCATCCACGAAGATTGGTAGATACCAGATAAATGTTGTTTCTGGTTGCTTGAGAGTTACTATTAAAAATAGGTTTAACTAATGCCATACCCCACACTATACCATAAACTCTGTATTGACTTCATATTAATATTGAAATGCAGTAATCAAAAGCAAATTAAGACAAATAGACACACAATCGTTTCCAGGATAATACATGCCGCAGATCAACAAGTACAGAGCGGTGTGTCATGTCACTTTCTTCTCGGCACCTCAGCTTGCGAGAGCTCGCAGAGCTGAGCGTGCCGAGATGAACAATTTCAACTTTAGCCAATCGGCTCGCGCGTATAAACCGGCGCGACGGGATGCGACGTCTGGCTGGTTGTTACAGACGAGCCGATTGGCTGAAGGTGCAGTCAATCATCTGACTGCACTCAGCTCACACACTGCACGCGAAGCTCCGTGCTGGAGAGCTTTGCTTCGCTCTGCACGGCTTCGCGTGCAGTGTGTCACAACCTTAAGCCTCTTGTCCCCTAGGCTCCGACGGTTGAAGGCCTGCTGACATTATCACATCTAATGCAGGGTCCATAGCCTGGCATTATATGCGAGGACACAGACAGCACACAAGCCAGAGCAGAGGGGAGAAAGTTGAGTAATGACCACAGGTCGAGGAGGTCAGGTAAGTAAAAGTCCTTTACACAGCTCCGCAATACAAAAATAAATAGTTAACCCTTGCTGTGGGTTGGTAGCCTCACTGCAGGGGTAGTTTTGTTTTTTCATTCAGATTTTAAGAAGCCTACCTCCAAAATAGATGGGTGCTTTAGCTGGCATTGGATCTCTACCTCATTACGCACTCTCTGGACCATGCCAACCCTCTGCATGGCCTTTTTGTCGATCTACAATGACAAAAAAAAACAAATCTGTAGTTGGACCAGCACATATGAAATGATCAATAACAAATATGTGCAGTGTACATACAAAACTGCAAAGGAAAAAAATAAAAGGGAGACTTACCATTTTGATAGCTACTTCGATGCCAGTATGTATGGACTGTGCCCTGTACACACAGGCAAATGAGCCTTTGCCGAGGAGGTTGAGGACCCTGAAGTCCTGGAAGACAATACAAAAAAATAGTTTAAAATTCACATAGCAGTAGATGGAAGCTGTCAGAATTGTATGTTGTCCAAAAGACACATATACCATGCACCTTCTATACCAGGTGTAGTCAAATTAATACGGAATTCAGAAGCCGGTCTGTCCAGATCCAGGAGTCAGAAACATTTTTTTTAAGTGCCAGCTCCAAGGGCAACAACTAGAGTAACCTTCAAATGCTGTAATTTTTAGAGGTCATTGGCTACCTGGCTTTTGGGATCTGTCCAGCCCTGCTCTACATACAGATACATATATACTAGGGTACCCCCGATATACCTCTATGGAGTTCTCCCCCTGCAGTAGCGGTGTACAGCTGTCCCCCATCTGCTTCTCATTGCCTCCATCAGAGGAATGGTCTTTGGGGGCAAGGTTGGGGAAGAGGAAAGTGAGGACCCTCTCCAGCATGATGTCAGTCAGGGAGAGAAGACATAAGACTGAAGAGCCTGGCATACAGGTGACAGCGGGTAGACCCAATCCAGCCCGGCTGAGTTCCCGCTGTCCCAACTGACAGCAACCATCACTATATGACAACAACTATTAGCAACCACAACATGGCAGGGGACGCTAGGGGAGGAGAGAGCAGGGCGGGTGGTAAACAATCACACGGAGCGGGATCCCAGGAGACATCAGACTCTTCTGTGTACATGACACGCTGGGAATTGTGGTCCCCCCCCCTTCTCTCCCCTTTCGGCAACTACTAGGGAAGGCTGGATCGCTTAGCGACAGATCTCCCAGCATACAACCTCCAGCTACACACCTCTATCCTCCCCCCGATGCTGCTCGCCATGTTTCCTCTGGGCGGCCCGGCTCATCGTCGCAGAAATACACCGGGTAGGCACTCGGATGCTCCCGAGGTAGCGGAGAGGACGATCTCTTCAAACTGGGGGTGAACGGAGACGCGAAAGCCTGGTCCCATTACCGCGGGGCTGGTTGTTTTTTAAAAATTCCGCCCGTTACAGTCACGTGATCCACACTACGTGCGTGGCGGCGTCAGCAGTAGCCTGAGGAGGCTCTGTCAGCTGTAGTGAGAAGAAGGTGTTTCAATAAAGCTTTGTGCGTTCAAAGGCGGCTGGCAAAGTCAGCGCTTTGCCAGCCGAATGATGGCGGCTAAACAGTGCAAGGGAAAGATAATAGTGTCTTGCGGCAGCAATCAGTTCTCCAGCTGTGCTGCGTGATTTATACACAATTTTTGATGCTAAGGAGTTCTGGCTGTCTCTTGTTTCAAACCTATAGGAGACCCTGACCGAGAACAAGCTTGCATGTTTTAAGCTTCTAACTTCTAAGCGTTGTACATGTCTGGGGGGGGGCTTACAATAGAACTGAAGGCAAAACTTTTTTTTTTTTTAGTTTTGGATAGTGTAAGGACGCTTATACCAAGGGTTGCAACCGAAAAATGGTACTAATGGTACATAAATTGCTGATAGTACCAAAACGGGCAAACATTAATTGCGCCCCTATTTTCTCTCCTTCCCGCTTGGTGGCGGTCTGTGTCCCTCCGATCCCCGCTGCTCTCCCCCGCCTGTATTGGCAGAGGCATCAGGGATCGGAGGGGGCACAGACCGGTGCCTAGCGGGGAGAAGAAAAGCTGTCAGGATGCGGGAAGGAGAGAACTGTCACAGGAGGCTGAGCTCTCCTCCTGCACCACCTTGGTCGGCCTCCTATAACAGGCAAGTCAGGATGGAGAACAGGTTACATGCAGTCAGTGATCAGAACTGATCTATGAGTGTTTGTAAATAACTAAGTACATAGTATGCTTACTTTTTTCCCAGTTATGAACAGGAAGTGCTCTACATCACTTCCTGTTCATTCATGACTGTTACATAGTAACTGATACTATCTCCACAGTTTATGTATAGACAGGAGCATGTGCTGGGGCTGCAGAAAAAGAGATTTAGGACTCTGTTTTCTTTTTTTATTTGAAAAGGGAAATATCAGGGGTCTGTTTAGACCCCTGATATTTCCCCAAAGCCCCCGACAGTAAAGTACAAAAAATAATTTTGAAAATTGGGTGAAAAAAAAGGAATGTACAGCACAAATAACAGAGTACAGGGGTCAGGAGTATATAGTGTACAGCACAAATAACACAGTATAGGGGTCAGGAGTATATAATGTACAGCACAAATAACACAGTATAGGGGTCAGGAGTAGGGATGCACCGAAATTGAATTTTGAGACTGAAACCGAAAATAAAACATTTGTCAGGCCAGAACCGAAAGTGAAATTTTTTCCCCTAAACTTTTTATTATTTTTTTTGTATAATCTTTATTTTCAAAATTTTGATCACAAAGAAAAACAAAAAAGGGACAAAAGTGGGTGGAACAAAGACCCCAGAATGGATGACATACAAAATAACATAACGATTGGGCGACCAGCCCTCACACAACCAGCAGGCTGGAACTGGTCAATGGAAATGGTGCACAAGGCACTACCTAGAGTTTAAGTAAGTAGGCATCCGGATTCACTGACATTTTTCAAACAGAACTTTTTTCCAACCTTTTTAAGAGGCTTCCTGCAATGGTGGCATCACTCTCCTCCGCCACCGCTCGGCATTCTGAAACCTTCTCTCCTCCCCGCTGGGAAGGCACACAGACCGGCACACAGCGGGGAGGAGAGAAGCTGGATGCACTGAATTTTCAGCTGTAGTTTCGGCTGTCATGGTGCTTTCGGCGGCTGAAATTTCGGTGCATCTCTAGTGAGGAGTATATAATGTACAGCACAAATCATTAGGAGTATATAATGTACATCACAAATGACAAGAGTACAATCATCAGGAGTATATAATGTACAGCACAAATGACAAGAGTAAAATCATCAGGAGTATGTAAAATACAACATAATTAAGAGAGTATAGGGGTCAGGACTAGGTAACATACAACATAATTTATGAAGTACAGGACTATACCACATTTGGCAAAGCTTATAGAATGCAGTCGTGAAGAGAATGTAACCTAGTACCTTTTATGTTGTTGGTCAGTGGGAGGGACGCGTGGGAAAACATTGCCTGCGTTTTGTTCCACTGCAAACGCAAAAAATAGAGCAAGCAGCATTTGTTTGCGTTTGCAGTGGAATGGAACGCAGGCAATGTTTTGCCATGCGTCCGATTGCACTGGAAAGCAAGCCGGCTGGCTCCATGCGTTCAGGGGCAGGAGGGGGCGTGGTGGTGCATTGAAGTCAATGGCACCACATCCACTACCCCCACCCGCAGTCCGATCACCCGCACCCTGCAAAGCATTATTTTTGTAGATCGCACTGGACCGGAACTAACAATCCTGCGTTCCAGGTGTGGGCGATCGCACTGAGGGCGGGGGTGCATGGCTTTGGTGCCATTGACTTCAATGCACCGCCACGCCCCAGAACCCAGGGGGAAGTTTTGTGAGTGATTGCGTTGCGTTCCAGCAGCTGCCGCTCTGGAATGCACCGCAATTGGTGTGAACAAGCCCTTAGGCACAGCAATAATTCTAGATGTTTGCTATAAGACAGCAAATCTTCACTTTTCTTACTTTCACTATACTGGAGGTGTTGGATGGACATCAGCCATTGCATGTAGCAGTCAATGAATCCATTCACCTTTGGCTCTTGCTCAACTCTCTCTGCCAGGTGCAAGGTTTGTAATTTTAGCTGTCCACATAAACAAATGCAAGAAGGAAATATGATATGTAATTCTGCACTCTTCTGATAAAATCAAAATTCATCCAGAACTACAGACAAACGGTTTCTTAGGTCACCAACAACCATTTCATGTGTATCAATACATCCTCTGGGTAGTGGGATAGAAGAGTGTGGGATTAAATATCATCCTTCCTTCTTGTGGTAGTTATTAGACTAAAGCAAAACTTCTGGCTAATAGTTAAAACTCCCAGAATAATGAGTGGGCCTGCACATGTAGGGGCAGAGGAATAAGCTGTAATATTTACCTCATTCCTTGTTCCAGCAGGCTTCTGGCGCTCTCCTCTTCTCTACGACACTCCAGGCTGTGGACAGACCCTCACCGTCTTCACATATAATACAGGACTATCGGTCCTGCATTGCATGTCACCAGTGTGCGCTGCCAGCTGGAGCACCTTAGAAAATAGGCTTCGGGGGAATGGTCACACAACATGAAGGAAGCCTGCCAGGCCAAGGAAAAAGGTAAGTGTTACAGCTTATTCTTCTACCCCTAAAAAGTGACACTAAATTCAGGAATTAGATCCTAAAAGTGCATTCAAGTACCTTAACTATTAACAAAAATGTTATATGTTTGTGTATAACTGGGCTGTAGATCCTCAAATAATTTCTAAATTCCTGATGACACTGTCCTTCCTTCTGGAGGGTGACTACTTTTTGTTCCCCATGGTCCCTGTGTGCGTTGTAAAGTAGCCACCGCAGCAAGCTGGCTCCTGTGATGGACTACAATCTTAGTTTTTGTTTACTAATTTGTATTGAGATTGTAGTCTATCACAGGATTGATCTTGAAGCAGTTACAACCTAACAACACACACCTGGACCATGGGGAACAAAAGTAACCACCCTCCAGATTTTCAGGTGCATCGGTCAAATACCTGGACTTTTTTTTAAATGTGTAAGGGCTTGTTCACACCGATTGCGGTGCATTCCAGAGCGGTAGCTGCTGGAACGCACAGCAAACGCTCACTAAACTTCTCCCATTCGTTCTGGGACGGGAGGGGGCGTGGCGGTACATTGAAATCAATAGCACCACCTGCGTTCTGGTCCACTGCGAACGCCAAAAAATTCTGCATGCTCTATTTTTTGCGTTCGCAGTGGACTGGAGCGCAGGCAAAGTTTTTTGCCACACGTCCGATCGCACTGCGGTGGGGGGGTGGGGGGGACACGGCCGTGGTGCCATTGACTTCAATGCACCGCCACGCTCCCTACCCAGAACGAAGGGGGAAGTTTAGTGAGCGATTGATGTGCGTTCCAGCAGATATCGCTCTGGAACGCACTGCAATTGGTGTGAACAAGCCCTTAAAGGTAACAGTCTTGAACATAATTCCAGCATTTTCCAAAGACCGTAAAATGTGCCGGCCAAGAGGAACAGTTTTGCTTGTCAAAGCTCACTATTGTCATAATCAAATTGAAAGGAAATCTGCTAAATGCTACAAACATATAGTATATCCTTAACATAGTCATTTCTGTGACTTCTCATTAGAAGCTGTTTGTTGGGAGCTTCCCAAAACTGGAATTTGTAGCAGGGTTCCCAGACTGAAAACACCTCACCCCAAGGCTGACTTGCACAGAGGCATAACCTGGTGTAGAGAGCAAAATCTAAAGCTCTAAGTGATGGACAAGAGTAAAACTGGCCGCACGTTGTTAGAATTTTGGCCAAAACACAGTGGGTGGACAAAAGTTGATTACTCAACTGACTTTTGTCGAAGGTTTAGTTTTGAAAATTATTACGAACAGTGAATAGAGCCAATCAACTGCAGCCACTGTTGGCTATTCTGACAATGGCAGGTACTTTTCCTTAGAATACAATAGCCAGGCCCAGGGGGATTCCTCCATCCATGCGAAACACCTGTTAGATTTCATTCAGGATGCAGGCTAAATGAAAGAGATAATCAATGAATGTATGGCAAGCTTAAAGGAGAACTATGGGTTTAAGGCTTTTCCCCATAGTTCTCCTTAGGGTAACGAGAGGACACAAACTATCGTCCTCCCGTCACCCTAGGCTCAGTATACCGCGAGCTGTAGCTGCTGCTTGGTAGCTGTACCTCCCCCATCCGTTCCTCCAGTCAGCGCTGGAGGATCGGAGCGGGGAGGGGAGAGTCCCTGCAGGGAGCCGTGAGTGACAGTCACCACATTCTGCAGGGAGATGATCGAGAAGTGAGCGAGCGACGGTATGTGTTCGCTCACTTCCCAATCTATTGAGCCGAAGTGTGACAGTTTAATTGTCACATGTCGGCTCGGACTATGAGGATGAGTGAAAATCACTTACCTCATAGTTCTCCTTTAATACTGTTTGAATGGTCATGTATTTCACCTAT